TTTTTTTTTTTTTTTCAATATTAATTCTCGCAATTTTTCGAAACTTTTATAACAATTTTTGCTAGCAGTTTTTACCTGTTTTTTGAATTCCCAACTTTTCATTAATTTGGTTATGGTAAGTTTCCTCCAGCACGTAGATTATGCTACTTCAAATAAAGAAAGAAAAGAGAAAAAAAACAGAAATAAATTGAGGACGATGAAAACTATACTGTATTACATATATTTTTAAGCAGTCTTCTTTAGCTTTGTCATATTCTTCAAGTAGGATTATTCCTCAATAAGACTAAAAATTACTTAAATGTAGACCTGCGATTTTTATAACGCCAGTATTAGTAGCCGCATCAGTAACTCGAAAGAATATCGGCTATCTAATAGTCACAGTTTGACGATTGTGTGATCAAGAGGCTGATGAGATGGTAAGTTTTTGAGAATAACTACCTAATGTCTATTGATACATTATAATTTTTTGTTAAGGAAACTATACAAAGATTGAATAATAAGTAGTTTTAATTAAACAAAATTTTTAAAACGAATAACACTTCTGGCGTAGATCGAAAACTCAACAACTAGAACTATGCTGTTTACAGTTATAAAACTGTTAACAGAGTCTACGCTTCGTTTTTTTTTCCTTTTTCGTTTTTTATTTGTCGCTAGAACCAGTAACTTCTCGTTTGTACAGCTGAATGATTGCTATAAATGAGAAAAAGAATGGCAATAAAAAAGGCAAAGAAAAATAATCGCTGAAGTAGGGTAAAAAGTCAAAAAAACTGAAATAAAAATCAGAGAATGAAAAATATGAGAAATTGTCTACGATCACTGAGTTAATTGAGAAAGAAGGTTTTTTACGAGGATTACAGAAGTGGCGTCTGAGCTGAGTCTGTAAAGCGATAAATGAGGAATGCTCTGAAAAAGTGGAAATACCGAACGTTTGGCAGTCACCCGCCGGTATGATGATGGAAGTTCTTTTAGAAGAAGATCAACCATCTGACACAGAATTTCCTTTACGTGATGAACTTGTTGCTGAACAGGTAATTTCTATTGTTCGATCTGCACCTTTAGTCTTACTAGTAAATGCAGTTGCGAATTAATAAACCAATTCGTTCTATATGTAGAAGATTTAGAGGAGTTTTAGTAAGGATAAATCAGGCGTTAAATACACTTGACTAAATTAGGTTGATCAAATATGGCATTTCTTATCCAAAAATACCTTTAATTTCGGAAACAATAGTAATTAAATAATCGAATTTTCTAATAACATTTTTATTTTTGCTATCATATCGATACTTCGAGATCTATTCATTTATTTCATTTTTAGCTTTTCTTGATACTGTTTTTTTGCAGGCTCTCAAATTGTTTCGAATTTGTGATGAAAACGAAAAAGGATTTATTGTTAAAGCGGATTTAGCGAAAATTGATGGATTTATTAACGAAATGCCAATTGAAAAATTAGAATCATTTTTTGACAATATCGATACGTCAAAAACGAATATTGTTACAGAAAGTCAATTTATTGATAACATAAGTTCGTCGAGCACTTTTTTTCGCTCTTTTGAAGATTTACAGTTTATAGGCTTCTGATTTTTTCTTCACTTTCTGTTATTGTTAACCAAGAGTAAAATCAACACAAATATACATAAATGTTGTATATTTATGCACAATCCTCAGTCATAGTTGAATTTCTCTATTTTAATTTTTTTTATTTTTTGATACATTTCAGCTTGCAAGCTGAATATTTGAACAAAAAAAAAGAGTTGAGAGAAAGAAAGTCAAATGTGCAGAAGAACGACATTTAAACACAGTGAAAATACACAGCAACAACTTCACAAGCTAGGTTTTTTTCTTTTCTTACAGAACCAATTCTTTCTCGAATGGAAAAAGGAGAATCTATATCTAAATGTATTCAAAACGCTGCCGAGAAGTCCAAACGTGAAGTAATGTCATTCATTTTGCTTGAAATTTTCTTTCTTTTTTTTTGCTTGCTTTTTAGCAAGAAATTTTGCCTTTTTTTACACGATACTTTTACAACCAGTTTTAAGTCGTTTTTGTCAATGTTATCATCAAATATTGCACTATGATGTTTGTAGATCGTTGTAAGGCCACTGTTACAGACAGATTTGTAACGCTAAATAAATTCAGAAAAAAAAAGTTTGTCAGAGATTTAGTGACATTTGAATATGAAAATATCGGGTTACAGTTTTGTTTCTAATCGATTCGAAATTTATTACATTTTCAGTCGCATTGCTAGAAATGAATGTTCAGCATCTATCAATAGGATTACTTTTTTTTTTCAGCTGAAAGACTGTTATTCGATATTTATGCGTGAGAAACATTGAAAAAGGAAGTTGGTTTGAGGAACAGTTCAAGAGGCAATTTTTGGTTGAGAAGCGTAATAGTTGTTAAAACCTTGTAAAAACAAAGAAATCTTTTAAATTTTCAAAGTTATTGTAATTAACAATTTATTCTGGCTGCTAGTTAGTCTTCTCTTATTGTCATATTCGTTAGCATATCACGTGTGCTGTTTACTGCTTATCAAAACTCCAATGGTACTTACTTATTAGAAAGACAGTTAATCGACAATGTCATGCGAGGCATCGGCAGCAACAGCTTGATGTCCCTCTAAGACGGCGCTGTTTTTTTTTTTTTTTTTTGGTAACGATTCTTTACCACGTTCAAGCTAGAAATCTACTTGTTTTAGCACTTTTTTTGTTTGCTTTTCTAGTGTAGCTGCAGTAAAAATTTTTTTCAATTGCCGGAGATTACATTTTTTTCACCTCGCTGAATTTTTTTGATGAGGAGCATTTTACCTACTGTTTTTTTTTTCATTAAAGTCATTAGCATAATATTAATGCCATGAAGAAAGGAAAGCAAGCCAAGAGCAGTTTTTTGTGTTATTGAATTGTTATGGTTTCGAAACGTTGTAAAACTTCATACTTTGCTTAATATACAACGAACAAACACATTAGTAAAAAGCTTACAAATGTTTCTACGTAGTATTTTTTCCACAGTATGTTAGTCAGATGTTTACAAGGAGAAACTACTAAGCTATTGCATAATTTTCACAAGTTTTGAAACTTAAATTTATTTTTTCTTCTTGCTTGATTGCTGTTTTTATGCATAAATTATCGATGACAACAATTTTTTGCTACAAATACTCTATATTGTTATTTTGTTTTGGTAATTATATATTCTATAAAGTAATAACTGCTGAAAGTAACTGTAAAATGAAGTGAGATTTTAATCTAAGTGAGCTTGCTTGATATTTATTAAATTAGAAGTTAAAGCATTCTGTTTTGAATGAGTAAAAAACGAGTAAGAAAACCAACAGATAACCAAGAAAGGCATTTGCGATAACCGCTTAGCAAAGCATTATCTTAGTGGCACTAATTTATTGAAGCTGTCGATCATTTAGCATTTTACTGGAGTTTGGGTGAATGAAGCGATTTAATATCCAAGTCTGGCAAGGTTAGGGTTTACCAGTTCTACTTTAAAAAGCGAATTCAGAAGAATGCTCTCTTTTTTTATTGTTTAATTAAAGACCAATAAAACCTCTTCCTAATTTGTCTTATAAATTGTAACTATTTATCTTTACCACTCCAATTTTTTTTTGAATTTAAAATATTTAAAATATTGAAAAATAAAGGAAGGGAAAGAGAAAGTTAGCACATATAAACCTTCCCAGAGGAACGACTGTTTAATTATAATTTTTTTGGTTAGAAAAATTTTCGCTTGACAGATTAAATACTTAGTCAGTGCTTCTTCTACCCTAATTTAGATAGACTTGAAAAAAGTTTAGCAGAAAAATTACTATACATTTGAACAAACCATATTATTCATTTTTCATTACACTGTCTAAAGTTTCTTGTCAGCTATAATATTGAAACAGTAAACCTTGGTAATTATTTTTAACTGAGATTTGAACTTCAGCGATTCTCGTTAGTTGACTTTTGTAAAATACTTTATTGTTTGTCTGTCGTTCGGCAGTTTGTCTACGAAAAACGGCAAATCGACGACCTACTGGCATTCTAATCAAATGATTTCCTGCCTCGTAGTGAAGCTCCTAAATTTAGTCACCAAACGAATACAAACTGTTTCTATTAACCTTTCTTTCCTGCTGTTTACCAAAAATGAAAAAAATGCAGGTGACATTTTGGTCTAAAATTGAGGAGTCGAAAAGGTCAAATACTCTAGTTGTATTAATTTTTGCATCGTTTTTTTATTTTTGCTTTTGTTTTTATCGTAAAAATTTGAAAAAGCAGAGAATAAATTAAAATTAGTTTTTTAGAAATATATAATAATGTTTGACGCATTAAAGCATCTTCAATGATCCTGTTTAACCGAAATGAGAGAGAAGAAAATGGAACCCTCAGAAAACAATTTAGATTCGTCTCAATTCTTTCACTGAAAAAAGCAGTATAAAGGGTTAATTTTTTTTTAAATATATTACTATTTCTTTTTTTCTGCGAAATGCTGTTGATACGGCGTGAAAAGCACTGAATTTGAAAAGAGATTACGATGCTAATCGGTCGGGTAAAAGAGGTTTAAAAATTTTCTTATCATCTTTCTAATATTCAACTACAGTTTGCCCGTTATTGATGCAGTCGTCAACTTGGTTTCTTGTTCAAGAAGTATAAGTGATTTTTATATATGAATAACTTTTCTGATTATTGTCACTACCACTATAACCGATATAGTTGTCTTTGCAGCAACAAAGGAGTAACTTTTAGAAACTTTTGAGCTCCAACTTCTAGACAGAGATTCCAAAGTGGGATCAAAGTTGTGTATCTAATTATGAAATAGTGAAAATCTATGTGCGTTCTTAGTAGGCTGTTCAATTATCCTGTTCTTCCTTGTTCAGAGGTCTACAATAAATCCCCGATAAAATATTTTCTATATCTTGCTTCATGAAAATACTTACTTTTTCTTTTTTGGTTATTTCGCAATATTTTAACGAGTGATTGTGAAGACCGTAGCCAGAAAAAATTTTTTTTGTTCTGTATCAATTCTTAGTAAATTTATGCATCTAACTTTAATTTTACATTTTCTCTCAGTTTAACTTTTGTTAACTTTGTTGTCGCTTCTGTTTCTTCCTTTCTAAGCTTTATCACCACCTAGTTTTGTTTTTTTAATTTATTTTTCTAGACATATACTTGTAATTTTATCTGCAACATTAATGTTGCCTATGTAAAAGCATATATCAAAGTTTAAATAAACTTTGTCCAAGACTATCTAACAAGAGAACAAAGAAGTCAAGAGGCAATTTTCTCTTAAGTCAGTCGTCCTTCTTCAGATGGGTTTTTCTCGCTCTCTTTCTACCAATGTTTCATTACTATCAACTATGTGTTAGTCTTTAACTTTAATTGTCATTTCCCTCTCTGGTTTTTAGTCACCAATTCTACTTTTCAGTCAATGCAAATTCTGCTTCTCACTGACTGTATTACTGAGCAGAGAAGACTAAAAAAGTTTTTTGGTTAAATCTGAGCAAAAAAAATAATGGAAAGTAAACAGAAGAATTCACTTAAAAAAATTTATTTCTGATGAGGCAGTCAACAAATTTTTGTTCTTGAGCAACAATTTTCTGTTGCCAATTTCTTTATTTGACTAAAAATTTTATATCTTTCACCTTATCACAGAAAAAAAAAAAAAGAAGTTTTTTCCTGACACTCTGAAGCTGTTAAAAAAAATGCTCTAACAGAGATCAAGAATATTTTTTATTTTCATTTTCTCACTTTTTTTTCTTTTTTACTCTTTATTATCTATTTATTTACTCATTTTTGCCTTCTATCAGTTTTTTGTTTGGGCCTGATCGTTTTTTTAGTGATTATTTTTCATTCCTGTTTTTTCTGGAAGGTATTTGAAACCAAAATTCATTGACGACAGTTAAGCCTATGCAGAGCATTAAATTGGTCATTGTCAGTTTGTTATCGGGTTAGAAATCAGTAGTAATTTTACTGATTATTACACGGTATTTGATGATGTAAAAAAAATTCGGTTGTTTTCTCTCTACAGACGTTAGCACTCATTGTTCAGGCTGTTCAAATAAGCTATTTAAAATAAGAGTGCAGAAATAGATAGCGAAATAAATTTTTTTCGATTCTACCAGACAAATAAAAAACATATCTTTGAACAGATGACCGAAAACAATAAGAAACCGTGAAAAACTTCAAAAAAATTATAGAACACTGAGGATATTGCTGACACAGCAGTTGAATGTACCATTAACAGTTTTTCTGGCGATCCTGAACCATCCAAAATTTTGACGCAAAATTTGGATACTGCTGTTAATGGCAGCGATGACCAACAATTAGCTGGAAATCCTTCGACGGTGGAATTCCAAGGTTCACTCCATGACGAACTTTCTATCGCTCAGCTAAATAATCCACGAGTACCACCTGAGTATGCAATCTAATTTGTCGCCTAAATATCAACAGATAATTTTTTTGGTTTTTCTAGTTTTTATTGAAAAAAAGCTACAGATATGAGTAAAAGATTTTAAATTTTTTTGCTCATTACTGTTTTAACCAAAAAAAAAATGAGTAGAAAATTAAGCAAAATGTTGCTCTTTAACCAGATAAGAATTCTGGTCATTACTTTTTTTTTGCTTATGGTACTATACTGCATTTTAATTAATATAAGCAGTTATGTGACGTAGCCAAATTTATGGTTTTTCAGTATTTGTCTCTGGTCTTACAATTGACCAACGAGATTGTGACTTGTATAACTTTCTACTCCTTCTTCTTCATCTTCTTTTTTTGCTCTTTTTTGTTCTTACTTTCTCCGCCCTTCATCTTCACCATCACCATCTCCTTCTTTAGGCCTCAGCGAAACTATCTGTATAACGCCGAAAACAGCAGTCTTGAAGCGCCGTCTAATTGCACCAGTAATATGGATTTAAACTTGAAGCCACAGGTTCATCTTTGTTTACCACTTTTAGTGCTCCACAAACTCCTCAAAATGTCACTGTTTTTCTATCTTGGATCAAGCAAAACTCACTTGCTGTTTTTAAATACGGATTTATAACAGAATACAATTTTTTACTCTTTCTACTGTTCTTTTTTTATTAAAAATTATATCTTTAGCCGTCTATCTTAAAATACGCCATGAATATTTGGGCTCATATATTTTCTTTTTTGCTTGAAAGAATTGAACGCAATCTACAAGGAAAGCATTTTCAAATAGACTGAAAGCATAACAAATGTTAGGACATTTTTCTTCATTTACTAAAGACTGTCGGTTTTTTGGACCTTCCTAAGTGAACTTTTTTGAATTTAACTGACTCTGAAAATCATTATATTTGAAAAAATTGTTATTTAATCAGAGTTGCATTAAGCGAATGTTAATTTTGTTATCGCTGAAAGTTAAATAAAAATTTACCGGCTCAAAGAAACGTACAGTAGATTTTAACACATGTGAGCAGTTATCACTTTTGCTAAATTGTAAATGGAATGAAGAATTATTATTGAGAACTTGCGGTCTGTACGATTCACTTATTTGGCAACTTTTTGCAACAGTTCGTAAGGTCTTTGGTTTTTTAGTTGTGGGATCGTGGTGGGCAAGAAACCTCGAGCCAAGTGGACCTTCGACGGAGCCTGTATCGCCCAGAGGTTTTACCGTCTCCTGGCTCCAAATCTCTAGCAGATGTGATTTTTTGAGGCTGTTTAAAGTGCCTTCTTTTAGTTTGAAGTTATTAAATACTTTACGCAACTAAAAATTTAAATTTGGAAACGTTTCTGAATTTAGTCTTATTTAGTTTTTGTTTTTTTTTCTTTTTTTTTTTTTAGGAACTGAGAGATGTTGGAGAGTCTGCCAGGGAGAGTATTCCACTAGAGGTTTTTGTTCTGTTAATTGAAAAATTTTATTTATTTTTTATTTTTTATCTGTTTGCTCACTTGTGGAGAAATAACTTATTTTTGTAGTAGATGAAAGCTGAATGTAAAGTTATCTTGCAGCCCACTTCAGAAACGCCATTAGACCGAATATTCAAAGTCGTTTTTGTTGGAGACTCAGCGGTTGGTAAAACTTGTTTTTTGCATAGGTTTTGTCATAATCGTTTCAAACCACTGTTCAATGCTACAATCGGTGTGGACTTTACTGTTAAGACCATAAAGGTTAAAGATAAGTTCGTCGCTGTTCAACTTTGGGACACTGCTGGTCAAGAACGGTAATATATAGCTTACTATCTATCCTTGCTCTAATTCCACGAGTAAGTTTTTACCAGAAGAGTGGACTAGTTGTCCAACAAAAAAAACCTAATAACTTTTTAAGTCCGGAAATTAATACGACACACTTATTGCGAAATCGGTTTGGTCTGTTGCATAATCACCATTTATTTTCACCGCAAAGATCACTAACATTTATTCGAATAATGATAAAGTGTTATTAAGGTTTTTAGGTTTCGAAGTATAACAAAACAATATTTTCGTAAAGCAGATGGTGTAATTATCATGTACGACGTCACATCGGAACAGTCATTCCTAAACGTTCGGAACTGGATTACGTCGGTACAAGCCGGAGTAGATGAAAATTGCATTTTATGTTTAGTTGGAAATAAGGCGAGCTTTTTCAGTGGGCTTTCCTCTTCCCTCCCCTCCCCCCTTCCCCCCGCTCATACCGGTCTTTTTTCAACAAATTTTATCAGCTTTTTGGTTTTTATTTCTGATTACTAGCGAATTTGAACCTTAACCCTCGACAGCGCTTTTGCTCGACCTTTCACTGAAAGAAGAATACACTACCTTGTCTGTGTCTGTCTATGGCTTTCGTATTAATGGTATAGCAATTTACCAACTGATAATATTGAAGTCAGCAATGTTGAGTTATATTAGAAATTTACACTCATTAATCATCTTTGTTTCAATATTCTGAGTTCGTTAGCGACAAAGACTGCGATAATAGCATTAGAAGAAAGCGCCATATTACTACCTTCATAAATATAATTCATTTCATTTCCTTCAAAGTACCACTCTTGGAATATTGTTCTTTTCCAGGTAGATTTATATGGGCATCAATCTACAAGGGTTTTAACTTATCAACATGGTCAACAGTTGGCAGATGTTAGTTTTTCTAAATTTTTTCGAATTCTCTCTTTCTCCACGTCCTGACCATAAAACTTCCCAAAAGACCATTTGAACTAGAACATTAAACTTTGGCTAGAAAATAAGCTCATAAAATTATTTAGGAATATGGAATGATTTTTTTTGAGACCAGCGCGTATACCAGTTATAATGTGAAAGAATGTATGAAGGAAGTTGCCGAGTAGGTAGTTTACTATCACTTACGATTAAAAAATATTGGAAGTTCAGCTCCTGTGAAACTTCTAATCTAAAAAGAACAAATTATCTCTCAATCACTTTCCAAAAAATTTGCTTTTGGAGGTAAAAAACATTGTTTAATGCTTGAAAACTTGACAGACCTTCAATTTTGCTAGTTCAATTTAAAAACCCAAAATGACATGCAGCAGACCTTTTTAACCTTGTTTTACTTCAGAAAACTGCAGCAGAAAGAGGACGACCATCTCGTTGAAGCGTTGAAATTAGAATCCGGTGACGGCCGTTCCAAACGAAGTTGGTGCTGCCTGTGACTTAAAATTCGGTTGTTCTTCGCAGGACCGCAGCAACGCTGATCAATCCTTCACTGCTTAAAAATGTTAGAGTAATTAACTAACAAAATCTTTCAGTGTTGTTTTACCTTTGTTCTAACCAAACGTTTCTGATAGTTATCGGCAGTCACTGTAAAGAAACTAAAATAATTGTTGATGACCATTATCAGTTTTTCGCGGACCTGCAGTAGCTATCTTGAATAATTTGGATGAATCTTAAACAAGTTAAACAGCTAGTTGAGTCAGGCTTTTCAAATAACTGAAAAGCCACAAGGCCATGTGGATTTATCGTGGTTAGACTGAAAGACATACGTTAAACCTATTTCAATTACATGTACTTGCTCTTCGTTCTGCTTCTTGGACAATAAAACACCGCTTTTTTTATTACGCAGTGTGTCAAAACACTGCTTTCTCGCTCCTCAGTATTTCCTGTTAATGAGCACTTTTGAAAAATAAAAGAAGAACAGTCAACGACAGTGTCATCTTTACGATTATTATTATTATTATCATTATTATTACAGTGTAATCCCTCCGTCAAATCAAAGATCCTTGTAATAAGCAAGAAAGCAGTCTCGAAACACTCCTTTCTTGCTCTTCAGTATTTTTTGTCAATGAGCACTTTTAAAAAATGAGAGCAGAACAGCGCTAACGACCGCAACATTTTTACTATTATTACTGTTATTATTATAATTATAATTATTATAATTATAATTATAATTATAATTATAATTATAATTACTATAATTATTGTAATTACAATTATTATAA